GCTGTAGTCCAAATGTTGCATGGATTACAAAACAAAAAGGAGCAGGGCCAGGACAGAAGAATGGTACTCACTACTCACCTACTGCCCACATGATGAATGTGACAGACACTGCTGTAGCCCGGTAAGCTGTGGGACAGATCTCCGCTACCTGAACTATCACCAACATAACCACTATACCGAACCCGAACCCCACAAAGCATCTGATGATAAGGTAGGAAATGTAGGTGGTGCAGAAAGCGCTGATGACTCCAAACACTGCTATTATTATCTGACCTATGATGAGTATTATCTTGCGCCCGTAGATATCAGCTAACCATCCTCCAATGAAGTCTCCTGGAATTGCTGCCAGCAACACACAGATAGGGATCAGGATCTGAAGAATGAGGAGAGATATATGTTCACATTTTTACTAAGATAACCACATAAAATAAAGGTGAGGTTTTCAAATGGTGGGGTAACCAGGGTAAAAAGTGTTGATTACCTCTTCAAGAAGAGTTAGATTCCAGTAACAAGTAAGATCGCTGAGAATGACAGAAGTAAGTGTTGTCTCCACTGCCTGTGTCATGGCCGAGATACCGTACAACCACATCCAGAGGTAGTGATACGAACCCATCCCGATATATTCTATAGCCTCGTCTACATTGTAGAACCCCCTTCTCTGGATACGCTCCAGTTTCCTCCTCCTAGAATCATTGTCCTCTCCAGCGTCCTGAGGAGAGGGTTTCATGAAGTTCTACATCACTACACAGTGCAATATCTTAAAGTTAATAATCGGTTAATGGGAATATTGTGTACAGTTAAAATGCTGAACCGTACTGAAGTATTATACCTGCGCTACAGTTTGATAGTTCTGAACAGTGAAGTCTGTCAGAACAGTCCGCTGATCCTTCTGACATTCCTAAAGATGAGGACTAGACGAAGGGTTGAATAAGGAAGCTGCTTGGTACGTGTAATTGAGGCTCACTTCATCCGGCAACAAGTCAAAACATTACGAAACATTGAAGCAATGGAAAATTAGTAAACCTATTTTGTATGTGTAGTTTGAGATAGTTGGCTTATCTTCACTTTTAGATTACCTGCAGTCACTGCAGTTATATTGTTTGCATATGTCAGCTGATGATGCAAGTTATGCGTTTTCAACAACATGAATCTGCAATTTGATCTCAGATTTTGAATAAAATTACTCCTTAATGGTGTATAGTAAAATCGATTAGCAAGAGTAGGGCCTGTCATGATATCAAGGATTGCTTAGGTTCCACCAGGATCTGGTAGTCCTCATAATTCTACTGTAGTTTATATCTACCTTATCGGACCTTATTTGGACGGACATTATTTGAACGCTGGAGGCCCTAGCGTTCATCTTAATGTCCGTTCAAATAAAGTCCGTTCAATTAATGTCCGTCCAAGTTAAAGTCCGTTGAAATTTTTCAAAAATTTTTCCATTTCGAACTTTTTGTCCAGAATATGACAACTTTGAGAACTTGATTGTGCCGTAAGTTAACGACGGAAAGGTTCTCCTTGGTCTGCCGGAGGCACAGAAAACTTTACTAGTATATGATGTTTTCAAGGGTCACTTGGCGGAAAAAAGTCAACGAAATTATGGCACTCAACAACATAGTTCATGAACTAGTCCCCGCCAACATGACAAACTTGTTCCAGCCTCTAGATATTACGGTAAATCGCCAAGGACATTGTCCGACGTTGTTATAGCTTATATTACTGAGGGGAGGTAATGAAACAGATAAGTGCTGGGAAAGATCCACGTGATGTTAAGGTTAACTTTAAGTTGTCTAAGATAAAACCACTTCACGCCGAATGGCTTGTAAAAGTTAACACTGAAATGCAGGACCGGTGTAGTTTGATAAAAAAAGGTTTCCATATAAAAGCTAGAATTCACTGATGCTTTAAGCAATAAGCATGGACTATTTCATGCACGAAAACCCATTTGATGAAGATGATATGTGATATTAGAAACTGATCATGTACACATATTTTAACATTTTTACTGCTCAATGACTGCATTTCTAACTTACTGTATAAAAAATGGATTGAAAATCATTTGCTGAAATTAAAAAACGTACATTTTTTTTTTATAAAATTCGGATTTTTGATGGTTTTGAATGCCTTCGAGCGTTCATATTAATGTCCGTTCATAATTATGTCCGTTCATGTAATGTCCGTCCAAATAAGGTCCGATAAGGTAACTACTCCCTATTACAGAAACCGTAAATTTATTTTCTGACAGAAAGCTAGAAGTTTACCAAAATATCGACATTGTTATAAACTTATTTTGATGACCATTCCTAACCTAAAATTGCACGAGAAATCGATTAAACTTGGTTTCAGAGCTCAACAAATAATTGTCCAACAGGGGTCGAATTCACAAAAATAACGTAAACCATGATTGATTTAAAGCAACCGCCGCTCCTCAAGGACAAAAGAAAATCGCGATTATTTAGGCCAAAAATCGCGGCGCCGCGACAAGTCAAACTAGGCAAAATCGCGGTGAATTTGTGGCGAAAGATAATGTATTTGCAGAGCTAAGTTAGATGTCATAAATTCGTTGACTAGCTTGTTAGTATAGATAGATTAGGGAGCGACAGGCTCGTTAGGCAAAACAATAGCATCTATATTAATAATCTTAAGTGTTAAGATCTAAACAGACTCTTCTTCATGATGTTGTTACACGAATTATGAATTAGGGATGAACTGGTTCATAGCATTAGGGTAATGAAAATTACTACCTTATCGGACCTTATTTGGACGGACATTACATGAACGGACACAATTATGAACGGACATTAATATGAACGCTCGAAGGCATTCAAAACCATCAAAAATCCGATTTTTTTTTCAATTTTTGAAGTTTTTTTAATTTCAGCAAATGATTTTTAAATCCATTTTTTATACAGTAAGTAAGAAAAGCAGTCATTAAGCAGTAAAAATGTTAAAACATGTGTACATGATCAGTGTCTAATATCACATATCATCTTCATCAAATGAGTATTCGTGCATGAAATAGTCCATGCCTAAACAAGCATCAGTGATTTCTAGCTTTATGGAAACCTTTTTTATCAAACTACCCCGGTCCTGCATTTCAGTGTTAACTTTTACAAGCCATTCGGCGTGAAGTGGTTTTATCTTAGACTTAAAACTTTAGGTTAACCTTAACATCACGTGGAGCTTTCCTAGCACTGTTTCATTACCTCCCTTCAGTAATATGAACTATAACAACGTTGGACAATGTCCTTGGCAACACGATTTACCGTAATATCTAGAGGATGGAACAAGTTTGTCATGTTGGCGGGGACTAGTTCATGAACTATGTTGTTGAGTGCCATAATTTCGTTGACTTTTTCCGCCAAGTGACCCTTGAAAACATCATATACTAGTAGAGTTTTCTGTGCCTCCGGCAGACCAAGGAGAACCTTTCCGTCGTTAACTTACGGCACAATAAATTTCTCATAGTTGTCATATTCTGGACAAAAAGTTCGAAATGGAAAAATTTTTAAAAAAATTTCAACGGACTTTAACTTGGACGGACATTAATTGAACGGACTTTATTTGAACGGACATTAAGATGAACGCTAAGGCCTCGACAGCGTTCAAGTAATGTCCGTCCAAATAAGGTCCGATAAGGTAGTTGGTTTGTGTGTAGATAGTAGGTCTGTGTGGCTTCTAGTGATAATAGAAAATTATTATAATTATTAAGTAAGAATTATTATAAAAGTTATGTTTATATAGAAATAAGGAGAGTAACTTACATATTAAGGCACTTTTCTTGTACCTATCGAGAATGACTCGGACCGAAAATTTTATAAATCGAAATTATTTTCGAAGTTTTTCTGGAAACTACTTTTGTTCATGTTTCATGCTTCCCTGATCATTATGAGCCGGAAATACTTTTTCGGTCCAAACCTACATTCGGAAGGCTGTGGATGTGATAAGTTCCATATTATTATAAAGAACGTGATATTTGGCCCTCGGATTTAAAGGAGAATGCGCAAATTTGGTCCTAAGAGAACTGGAATATAATCGCAATTTGTCGCGAAGATCTGTTTGTCTCGGCAAACGTCAAAAATCGCGATTTGTCGCAGGGAATGGGAAAAATCGCGATTCTGCACGTGCCGGGATTTCCTTTTGACCTTGCCGCTCCTGACTCTTGCGATTGCTTATGATGATCAGGAACACATTACACATGACGTATCATCACGACGATTATTGGTCACTCGAAATCGACCCGTTATTGTTAAGAATGCAATGTAGGTGTGATGGTTGTTTTTGCGTATTTGTTACCTGTTACTAATTAATCAACGGGATCATAATGTTAATTGTATCGATAAAACATGGATTTTAAGGCTTAAGGAAGCATTATAGAGCTCTGAAACCAAGTTTAATCGATTTCTCGTGCAATTTTAGGTTAGGAATGGTCATCAAAATAAGTTTATAACAATGTCGATATTTTGGAAAATTTCTAGCTTTCTGTCAGAAAATAAATTTACGGTTTCTATAACAGGGGGTAATTAGATATAAACTACAGTACAGCTGTACTTACACCCACATTCACAAGCATGCAAGCTCACCTGGTCCAATTAGTGGGAAATGGAGAAAAAGCTCTGGGGACGCCACAGTCACGTGACCTCAGGCTCATAATCACGTGACCTCAGACCCAACAATTGGGTTCTGGCCTGGTCAGCCCCCTGTCACCCGCTCTTGAGGTGACGTACGACACTTCGTTAACCCAATCAATGTCTTGAAGGCTGCAAAATTTCACATGCCAAACTCACAATGGTCTTACGGAGTTGTGCGAGATAACGATACATAAAGGCCGCAGAATTATGAGGACTACCATGGATCCTGGTGTAACCTAAGCGATCCATGATATCATGACAGGCCCTATAGCAAAAGTGAGGTGGTGGTACATTTATCCGCTGAGCAACTTAACAGTGTAATTATTTGGGAGAAGAGGTTTCAAATTAAATATTGATTTTTCCAACCAGGTAGACGTGGTTATTGGAAACAATGAACGAATACGGGAAGTGGTTCATATCGCAGACACTGTTTGGATAAGCCTATCCAACTCCACTAAAATTGTCATCTTCTCCCGAGAAACAAGACAAATCCTCAGAGTTATTTCTTTAAAGGTAATGTTGTCAACGGAAAAGTTTGCTCTAAATTTTAAATTTTAAAATAGGCCTCAGTTCAAAACTCTATCAATTTTATGTCAGAAAAGAACGAAAAAATGCAAAGAAAATAACAAAAAAATGCAAATAATTTTCTCGCTATAAACCAATCTTCTCAATATCATATGGCAGCAGGCTAACTAAAATTATTTCATTGTATTTATTCAGTTGCTTTGACCTAACCTCAATTGTTACTGTTAACCACATCTCAGGGCTACCTGCTAAGAACAGGACTCCGACACGGTCTTGATCTGCAGCGGTGTGATCTCTACATCACCACCATGTTTTATGACGGAAACCTTGTGTGGATAGGGACCAATATTGGTGTAGTTCTCGCAGGTAACTTTAGTCAATCCCTCTTTTTCATCTTTACATTCTTTGCTATTGAAATTATAACAACGCTTTCCCTTAACTTAATATTAGAGGCAATATTAAAGTGATATTAGAAGTAATATTAAAAATAATATTAGAGGTAATGATACCTTCCCTTCTTCGTAGGGGGCTCTGGCCACTATAAAGCTATAAAATAGAGCTAAGAGCTTTGGAACCGTGTGATTACCCCGGTAATAGTACCACTAACCCCAAATCTCACAGTTATGTTCCCTGTGGACGTTGTGAGTAGGGAAGCATCCCCCGAGGGAGGCAGGGACTCTCACCTGAGCAGTGTAGATGATGAGCTCAGTTGGGATCCTGAAGACAAACTACTGAACAGCACTAGCAGGGACCCTGCAGAGATCAAACCTGTGAGCAGTGAAGACCAAGGTGGTATCCAGACAGATGGGGAGACAGCTCAGCCAGACTCGCCTGCCTCACATCACACACCAGGGAGGGAGGAAGAGAAGATGAAGTCTCGTGGTAGCTCTTTGACGGAGTGTGGCCCTGTGTGGGATGAGACACAAGAGGAGACGGATGAGATAGGGGAGACAGAGGAAACACACGAGACAGGAGAACAGGTGTTACTGAACAAGGATGAATCCTTCGACTTCTCACATAACTTGGAGACAGAGCCCCCAAGTCCCAACAAACAATCAAGTAAGACACGACAACTATTCATACTTATCATGGTGGATTAGAATAATTTGTTTGACCCGTCTTGTTATCAGATACGTTTAATTAAACAAATTATATCGCCTGGCTATTATGTTATTTTTCTTTTTCACAGATACCCTGCTAACTTTATAAGTTTATATAACCTCAGGAATTTCAGGCATGACTGAAGAGATTGAAGATATGATAGCTTCATTCGACCTCGACTCTATCGCTAGAACACGAGTACAAAGCCTCAACGAGGAGCACATACTATTTTCAGTCTATGGTAACCAGGTTAGTAACCACGTTTGTAATAATTGTAACCAGGCAACACGGTAACTAGGCTGGCGATAAGGTTAGCATTATTAACCAGGTCCGAAACCAGTTAACCAGGAAAGCAAGTATTAACATCCAGGTTGATTTTGATCTATTTCAGGGTCCAGTGAGCTGTTTCTGCTCGGTCGGAGGAGATGAGGATCTACCCTCACTTCTATGTGCTGGGGGAATAGGGTTTGATGACTACGAAGTGAAAGGTAGGACATCAGCACTTAACTACAGTATTTTATAGTTTTATACATAGTAGATACTACCTGAACTGTATTTACCAGGATTTACGTTTAACAATGATTTAATACTTGCCAGGTTTAAAATCGGTCCGAAGAAAAGATTGCATTGAAGCTGACTCGCCCAACGACCCACGTTTACTAGCACAGCTACTCATGTGGAGTTACTCTAAGTGAAAGTAACCTCATCATGGTAACCTCATGGTAGCCTCATGGTAACCTAATGGTAACCTCATGGTAACCTCATGGTAACCTCATGGTAACCTCATGGTAACCTCATGGTAACCTCATGGTAACCTCATGGTAACCTCATGGTAACCTCATGGTAACCTCATGGTAACCTCATGGTAACCTCATGGTAACCTCATGGTAACCTCATGGTAACCTCATGGTAACCTCATGGTAACCTCATGGTAACCTCATGGTAACCTCATGGTAACCTCATGGTAACCTCATGGTAACCTCATGGTAACCTCATGGTAACCTCATGGTAACCTCATGGTAACCTCATGGTAACCTCATGGTAACCTCATGGTAACCTCATGGTAACCTCATGGTAACCTCATGGTAGCCTCTTGGTAGCCTCTCGGTAGCCTCTTAGTAACTTCATGATAACCTCATGGTAACCTCATGGTAACCTCTTGGTAACTTCATGGTAACCTCATGGTAACCTCATGGTAACCTCTTGGTAACTTCATGGTAACCTCATGGTTACTTCACTGTTACTCATGAGTTCTTCGAGGTTATTTTGGTTACAGTTAACCGACGCGTTTACAAACACAGATTCAGATGATCACCGAGCGAGAGTGCTGGTTACCAGTACTGGTTACCATGGTTACCCTAGTTTTTTATTAAGCCTATGACGAATACTGAAACGATGAATTAACGGTTTATATGGCGACTTTCAAACTGGAGGTGGAGCAACTCAAAGTTACAGTTTTTAAATAAATTATAGTGTTATTTTTTTCCTTTAAGTTTATAAGAGATCTGAATTTTCAGCTTTGCATGCGCCATGCGAGTACACAATTAAAGTGTAATACAGCATGACTGGTGTTAATGTTATTAAGTTATTGAAATAACGTTATTTAGTAATTGCAATGATTTCGCAAGACCGACCAGGTATGGGTTATATAGTGTAGATAAACTGTAGAATTTATTGTAAAATTTGTAGTTTTCTTTGTTTTGTGATACATAACTTTGTAACACATATTTCCTCCGGTGTGTTGTTATAAAACATCAAATTTATTTAATCCAATGCGTCACTCGAGTTTCAACACACCCTCGGATCTATTCTAATTCATGGACAAAACATGACAACCGTTGTAACTTATCTATGCTATTAAATATCGAGTAATGTTCTCTCCTCTGGCTCTACGGTAGAGAAAATTAACAATGTTCGCTTTTCTGACATACAGCAGGAATGTAGAGGCTACCTTCCTGCTGTATGTCAGAAAAGCGAACATTGTTAATTTTCAAAAGGTTAGGTTGCTTATATTAACATTTGAGCAACTTTTGCCTTGATTTTTGGCTGGCGTTGACCGTCATGGTTTTATTATTTGAATTATAGTTTTAATATTGCATCATATATTTGAAGAGTTTGAATTTCATGTTGAATTTTTTTGAATTCTTTTTTGTTTGTGGATTATTGAAAATGGTTAATGTTGGATCAGTCCCAAGTCATGTATGAAATGTTTTAATTCTACACGAAATATAAAGAAGACAGATTGGTGTTATAAAATTTTGTATAAAGTTGTTGTCATTAAAGTTTGATTAATTATTGACATCGAACACGAGGAACACAAAAATTGAAAATTAAATCTAAAATTAAATATTTTTTCCCACAAAATACATGGGTAAACAAATGTAATAAAAAATCTCGTGAATTTTCAACAATTTTTGACTGAGCTCCTCTTTTCATGATCTTGGAACAGTATAAGTAAATTAATTCAAAATTATTTACGTCAATTCGATAAAACAAAATAAAACTGAAAAAACGAAACGCTAATTCCTTCCAGCAGCAAATATTTTCTGCTCGGCAGATCAGGTTACAGTACCGAGTGACTAAAAACAAATCCAGTGTTAGGTAATTGTTTTAAATATATGTTTTTATTTTTTATTGGATGACATCCTGAGCTAGCCGGTCTTCAACTACAGCTGAGGTCCACAAATAGAATACCTTAGCTGCTTTGCTTATACTGTGCAACTGAAATAAAGGGTTATATAACGAGGGTCGTGTATAGCGCACAATTAGCTAAAAGTAATCATAGCCATGTGACATGTTGCGTCTAACTTTCTTTGAGAATACCCAAAAGATTATATTTGGAATCCACCAAATTTCTTAAAAGTTTATTGTATTTCTTAAGACCCAGGGTCAAGATAAGAAGGTATTAAGGTCCTACCTCTTCACTCTGAATGTCCCCTATGATGTTAGCTGCTCGTTTAGCGCTACTAGTGCTCAGATTTCCCGCGTTATACTCCTGTATTCTCCTCTTCAGCGACAATTTACCTGTCTTCACCAGCAGTACCTGAATCTATACCCACTTTTAGTCACCGTGGTTACACTGTAGTTACCAACTTACCAACAGAATCATTAAATCAGATCAGAGCAGAAATAAAAAGCAAAAAGTTTATTAAATAAACTCACCTCGAACCAGTCTCTGACAAGTTCAGGCTCCTCCCCAAGTACTATCAGCAACGCCATCAACACTTTGTGAACCTGTTATTTCAACAGTCAGCAACATGCCGCATACGGTGTTTGTTTACAATCATTGATATTCTTTAATACAGAATTATCATGAGGTTTATGGTGAAGGTTCTCAGTTACCATGATTATTGGGTACCATGGTTATTGGTTACTATGGCAATTGGTTACCGTGTTTATTGGTTACTATGGTAATTGGTAACCGTGGTGGTTTATATACCTGCACTGGTGGAGCACTGTAACTCTTGATTTCAGCAATGTGCCCATTTGTCAGTTCCATTACTGCTTTCTTGATAAGTTCCAATCTTTCTAGTTTTGACAACAACCCCTGCGCCTAAGATTAAGCGTTAGTAGTCACCGGGGTATTTATATCATAAGTAGCAAGATTAGCATTAAGTTATGTGTTTAACAGTCAGTTAGACTTGAAAATAGTATTTTAAGTTATATTTGTTCACCTCATCAAGCTCGATGCCTAATTCCGAAAGAAATCCAGCAGTGGTGGCCTCATTTATAGCGCGTCTTAACCGAACTAGATCTAGATTCTGCAGGAACTACGAGATGAGGGTTAGAATCTACAGGTAATGATATCGCAGTTTCGTAACACTGAATAGCTACTTCCTTAATTTGAGTCGTCAAAATTAAACGAGATTCAAGACAATGATTCACGACAAATTCTATGGAAGAAAAGCTTATGATATATAAGTAATCATTATTTTTTTAAATTCTCCGAACTTTTACCTGGATAGCAACATTCAGGTTTCCTTTCAAGCGCTTTTGCAAATACTTTCGTTTCAAAGCCATTTCCAGGTCGCATATCTCCGCTTTTAAATCTTCGCCTGATGATTTTAAACGTAACCTTGTGAAAATCGTTCTTACCAAATATATTTGGTCACTTTGAAATAATTCATTCACTTTGAAATAATACAGTCACTTTGAAATAATATAGTCACTTTGAAATAATACAATTACTCATATTTAAATATGAGTAATTGTATTATTTCAAAGTGACTATATTATTTCAAAGTGACTGTATTATTTCAAAGTGAATGTATTATTTCAAAGTGAATGTATTATTTCAAAGTGACTGTATTATTTCAAAGTGAATGAATTATTTCAAAGTGAATGTATTATTTCAAAGTGAATGTAGTATTTCAAAGTGACTGTATTATTTCAAAGTGAATGTATTATTTCAAAGTGACTGTATTATTTCAAAGTGACTGTATTATTTCAAAGTGACTGTATTATTTCAAAGTGACTGTATTATTTCAAAGTGACTGTATTATTTCAAAGTGACTGTATTATTTCAAAGTGAATGTATTATTTCAAAGTGACTGTATTATTTCAAAGTGAATGTATTATTTCAAAGTGACTGTATTATTTCAAAGTGAATGAATTATTTCAAAGTGAATGTATTATTTCAAAGTGACTGTATTATTTCAAAGTGAATGTATTATTTCAAAGTGACTGTATTATTTCAAAGTGACTGTATTATTTCAAAGTGACTGTATTATTTCAAAGTGAATGTATTATTTCAAAGTGACTGTATTATTTCAAAGTGACTGTACTATTTCAAAGTGACTGTATTATTTCAAAGTGTCTGTATTATTTCAAAGTGACTGTATATTATTTCAAAGTGACTGTATTATTTCAAAGTGACTGTATTATTTCAAAGTGACTGTCTGTTACGTACCAAACCCATCCACCTTCACATCATGTAAAGTTTGTTCCATTCTCTGAATAACCTTACTCCTAATAGCGTTAGTTATCTTCAGTTTGTGTAGGTTCTTTAGTTTCTCCAATTCTCGTAACTCCCCCAGTGCTCTTTTTGCTTCATCCATTTGTTTGGTCAATTTTATCCGATCCTCACTTTGTTCCGCTCGCTAACAAGGCAAGAACGGTCATTGTTTGTGAATTGTACGAAAAACAATACAGCACCATGTTGTGCTTTGAGTTAAAGTTCATTTAGTCATGAAAACTCGCGAAGTTTGTGTGTAAGTTAAATTTATTTAACGATGATGCTGCAATCGGTAAAAATAACGTTATTTAACACATTTACAAATAGCACAAGTACGGGTCTTTTTTATGATTTTTTTATAATTATGTTATTTATTTCATTGATGTATTGTCACGACGGGTTCGTTAGTGTTCCCTCTGACTATTTAAGTTTAATTCCAGTTTAATCCCAGTTTAATTCCAGTTTAATTCCAGTTTAATTCCATTTACAAATAGCACAAGTACGTATGACGAAAAAAGGAGAAAACTAATAGGATGAAATCAAACCGGGAAAGAGAAACCTGAATAGCCCTGTTTAGAGCAGCTGAGTCCCTACATTCCATGGCAGCAGACAAATCCCGCTCTACAACTTGCAGCAGCCGATTCTTACTGTTCTTCTCAAACTGGCATTGTGCATACCTGGTGTTATAACACATCAGTATAGGAAGTTGCAAGTAATATTATGACAATGATGACAAGAATTTAAAGAATTCCTAGAATAACAAGGATTACGAAGTACAATCTCTTACTAAGTTACTACGACAACGCACCAAAGTTCCGTCTCAAATTCGCGGTCCAGCTGCTTAGCTCTGATAATGTCCACCAACTTTTCCAACTGTTCCAAATCGTTACTGTGCATCGCCTCCTTCATCTGTACTTTCAGCTCGTTGATCATGTTCTGATACATAGATTTGCATTATTTCAACTTTTTAAAAAGCAGTATATAATCTCTTCCAGTGCTCCAGCACGTTGTGTGAGGGTGAGTAATTTCACCCTCACAGTGTATAGATCATACAGAAGACTAGACTGTGGGAATACAACAAATTCCGTAGAGAAGAGTCATATTATTACCTGTTTTCCCAGCTCTGAGCTAAGTCTCCTCTTAGCGTGTCTGATGATGATGGAGTAAATGTGGTTGTCGTGATGGGAGGACTCCTCCAAACACCGCTGTAATCCTACCACCTCGCCTGGCTGCAAACACTCTGTCTTATCACAATAGTTCTGCAGCTCACTCTCTATCTTCCAAGCCTTCAGTACTCCTGCGATTTAACTGGGGTTTCAGCATGCAGCTCACACAACAGCCTGGTGAAATTATAAAATATGAATCACATAAAATACAGGAACCCGAACTGCTGCAGTAACTCTTACCTTTAGCCTTTAGGAGTGAGCTCTGATCTATTTGACCCTCATAGTAACCCTCAACTGTTTCTAAAAAAGCTGCCAACTTTTCTTCCTCTCTGGCTTGTATGAGAAGAGTAAGTTTCTCTTTTAAATTATCTGGTTCCTTTTCCTGGGAATCAGTTCTGACACTTTGTATCCCGTGTAACCCAGCATTACAGGCTACAGTCTGAGCTGCTTCCACCAGTCTAGGCTTCATTTCCGTAGCCTCCACGTTAATAACAATGTTAGATTCCGTCCCCACACTCCTCTTCTTCGTTCCCTTCTTCTGAGTGACAATCCTGGTGGCGAAGTATATGATAACGAGGAGCACTATGAAGATCAGGACACACAGAACGATCAGCCAGATCTTCTCCAGATCTGAGAGGCCTGCGAGGCCGACCACGGGGGAAAGTTGCAGACACCTCCCCCAAACATGCAGACAGTTTGTAGGAGGGGGCTGTTCTGTGATCAGGGTGAACACTCGGTCCACATAACAACACTCATCCTCTCCACATCTGAAACATATTACCTTCATTATCTACATTCTACTAGCTTATTAAACTGTGAGCAATCCAAATCATGATAAGTAGAGGAAAGGGGATTGTTTATTGTCCGTGAAATTAAAAGGACCAATAAGGAATTATCTACTTATAGCTTTATGAACTCGGTTTATCTACTAATTACGCTATCTACTGGTTTTATTTACTATCCTTATCTAGAAGACAAACTTCGTAACACATGATAAAGGAAAACTGAGGCGTCTTAAAAATAACTAATAAGGAATAACCTGATTTCAGTTGCAAAAGATTTTCTGTCTTTAACTCTTAAACAAAATTCTGCCATTGTGTGAATAAAACAAAAAATAATAACAAAATTGAAACTGATTTTCCCGACAAAAAAACGATCACAAAGTTTTGGTTCATCCGCTATCAAAATGAAGCATTTGATTTAGTTTTGTGAAGTATACCAATTATCTTAATAAGACTGGACGATTTGTAAAATGAAGAAGAGAAGGAAAGCAGTAATGGTTTACTGAGCGATTGTGAGATTTCAGCATGCTCTGCGCTGGTCACGTGCACCTGTACAATAGAACACTTCACACTCAACATAAAAACTTGCTTGTTAATATACAGTAAACTGCACCGGGCATATATATCCAGTGCTAACAAACAACAGTAGATACGTCACTAAATGGTCAATTGTGCCTTATCTCTGGGAAAAATTCTTAACGTGCTTGATATAGAGGTGCCTTATTGGTTTGCATATTTCTAAAGTTCGGTAAGGCTAGCATATGTCTGACATGCGTTTATTCAAATCCTGTACATTCTTTTGCAAACCTTTTCTTTTTTTAGCGTTATTTAAGGAATTGAAGTGGAAAATTTCATTTCTCATAGTCGCCACTTATCTAAGAAACATTTAGGATATTTTTTCAATGGAAGATATTTACACTAAGATATTTGGCGGGTAAAATGTAAGTGTCAGTTTTTTGAAGTCGATCGCCGATTACCAGAATTTAATTCAATATTGATGTTTTACAAAAACACTGTAAAATTCTTCAAAAAAATTTGAGTTCCCCGTCAAAAGTTATCGATGAAATTATTTCCTACACTGCAGTGCAGTATTGGTCATGAACAGCTAGTCTGATAAATCCATTCGAGTATATATTTTTTGGTCCTGGTAGAACACACTTTCTCATAACACAGTTTGTGAGTTAAACTTTTCAAACTTTTTTTCTCTTGATAATCAATTTCATCTATGGAAGATTATAGAAAACGTGGACTAATCCTAGGACTAAGAATTTAGCGTAGTGCAGCCCTCCCAAAGTTCCACAATAGCGAGACAAAGATCTTTTGTGATTGTAAAAGAATAGTCTGGAGTTGAAATGGACCAACTTCAAACTTAAAGACTGAGTATAATAGAGGTTCTTAAGATTCAACAGGTGGTCGATCGAAGTTGTGGTAGATTCCCTATTGTTGACCATCAACGTCATGGGCAATTTTCATTTTTACCATTAAAGTTAACCAAACTCTGGCTCAATCCTGCACTTTGAGTGTTAGTCACCACCCTCAAGCCCCGAGTAAGCTGCAGCCAGCCACTTTATCACGTTACAACGTTAACTAAGCGCCATACCAATTCTAATCGGACCTAGCACGTAAAGTTCACAATGCTCCCCAGGGACCCGGAGAAACTGGAATAAATTTTATTTAGAATATTGAAGGATCGGAGCGGGGAAGTTTCTGAATTAAAACTTAAAGCTGCTCGTTGGAAAAGTAAGAAAAACGAGCCGTATTGTCTTATCACTCCTTCACCTATAATAATAGCGCCATATAAATTCTAATCTTACTTAAAATGAAGAAGCACGTGAAGTTCAGTGTTCACAATGCTCCTCAAGGACCCGGAGAAACTAAACTACATTTTGTTTAGAATATTGAAGGATCATAGCGGGGAAGTTTCTGAATTAAAACTTAAAGCTGCTCGTTGAAAAAAGAATAAAAACGTGCCGCACCTATTGTCGTCTCACTCCTTCACCTATAATAAAAGCGCCATATAAATTCTAATCTGACTCTGAAAATGAAGAAGCACGTGAATTTCAGTGTTCACAATGCTCCCCAAAGACCCGGAGAAACTGGACTAAATTTTAATTAGAATATTGAAGGATCAAAGTGGGGAAGTTTCTGAATTAAAATTTAAAGCTTCTCGTTGAAAAATTAAGAATAAAAACGTGCCGTATTGTCTTCTCACTCCTCGTGTCATGTGGAGTGAGTAGTCAGCTGGAGGTTCTATAAAACCCAGGTGCAGCGCCCTACTCATTGTTTGCACGTGCAACGCCCTGCCCTGCATTGTTTGCACCTGAATTGCACTAGCCCTTGCTCAAGATAACTTACTTATAAAAGGTTGACATTGACGAGGGAGAACCACGACATTTTCATTATTCAGTTCCACTCTATCTGATCAGAGCTGGATTTTTACGATGATTTATTTAACGTCCGCGTCAGTATCCGACGTAAGGTTTGAATTTTTAACGCCGATTATCTATTTTAAATAAACTCCCCACTGTAAAAAGTATGAACGACAGTGAAATCTTTTAATGATTATTCATCACTCTGCGCTTGTTATCACGTGACTAACTAAGTTATAACTTTAACACGTTATTTATATGGCTCCGACGAACAAGCCAATCTCGAACCCTCTACAGCTCTGAACCAACCCTAACTTTAACCCTAATTCAATCCGCTTAGCCAAAGCATTTACCAAAACCCTTTATACATCAACGAGAAATTTGACAATCTTTCTTTTATGGTTTCAAGTTATTTTAGCGGGACTAAAATAACTTTAACTCCACTTTTTATCAGTGCCAGTGGTAGGGCATTACTGATGTTTGCACATATTATTTAGATATTCATACGCTTTGACCTGGATAACTTCCTATCTACCAAAAACAGTGGGCTTTTGTATTAAAATAATCAATAATTATTTATTTTGTAGCAATGCAAAAAGTACTAGCGTTAGTATTGGTTGTGGTGACCTTTGTTCACGCTCGGAATGAGACTGAGATGCCGGGCAAGTGGCACTTGTTGGAGATGGGAGAAGGTGTAAGCGAGTATAGTCTACTACTTGGAGAGATAGGAAACGAGATGTTCACATTATGGCTCCAGGACGAATATCCGAATAGTTTCTTCCAGAATATCTGTAACTCTACTGGATACGGTGTTGCATCTGCTAATGAAATATTCCCAGTTGATGATGTAGAACAGTTCCCCTGCATCTACTCTGAAGGCCTCCGTGAAGGTACAGCTGCATTCTATCGATGTGACGAACGTGTTTCGGCTAATCAATCTATCGTGGCCTTGAAGTGTTTTGGAAGTGACATAGAACCGGAGTATGGGCTGGTTATGGCAGGTCTTTACTTCATGGATAACAGAACAGAGGAGATAGAGAAGGGGAGAGAAGGTCTGCTGATTGTCCACTTTAGGGATCAAAGTGCAGAAGATGAGACTGACGGCGGATGGCTATCTGGCACTGTCTGTGATGACAAATTTAATGACCATGCAGCAGATCTATCTTGCCAGTACCTTGGATACGAATCCGCTGAGGAGTGGGGCAGCGGCAGACAATATATGCCTGCTAGCTTCCTGGAGGAGTACGACATAGATATATTGGTGGATGACATATATTGTGATGAAAGCAAAACCAACATAACGGAGTGCGAAGCTGACGTATTGGTAGGACACGACTGTAGCAGTAATGAGAATCTGTGGTTGAGGTGTGCTGGCAACAGCTCGGAGCCAGATTGGGGGCTCGGAGAAGCCTACCTGATGAAGTACGATGAAGAAGATGATGCACTCTCTTACGGATTTGAGGGACTCCTCCTTGTAACTCTCCGAGACAGAAACGACCCGGAAGTTACGAAATTTGGCACTGTTTGTGATGACTCATTTAACGACCACGCTGCTAATCTGTCCTGCCAGTATCTGGGATACAAATACGCTGACGCCTGGGGAAGTGCACCACAGAACTACATTCCAGAACACATTTATGACTTTTTGAAGGACCCTCCCATATTGGTAGACGATGTGCAGTGTGATGAGTGGACAACTAGTATTATGGAATGTGAGGCCCGCTTCATAAGCCATGACTGCAGCAGATCGGAGAATCTCTGGTTGAAATGCAGTGAGGACGAGGAAGAAGAGGGGACGGAAGAAGGGGGGACGGAAGAAGAGGGGACGGAAGAAGATGGGACGGAAGAAGAGGGGACGGAAGAACAAGGACTCGAGTTGGACTTCGGAGGAGCTAAACTCAATTTGAACCTTAACAAGATCCACACAAAATGGAACTTTTAAGGAGACGATGGTAACAAGAAAACGTCGGGTAGAAGACATCTTTTTGAAAAATGTATCATTCACAATTGTAGTAAACAGCATTTAAAATTTCACAATTTCTGTGTTTGAATTTTGTTTCCGTCCAAGATTGGAGAAAACGTCGTCATAATGGGACGGATGGGTACTTATTTCTAGAAGCAATATTAAGCTAAACTATTAATTGGGAAATTAAACATTCATTCTCTCCGTGAAAACAGTTTCAAATAAATACCTTTAAGGCCTCAGGGGGGGGGGAGGGTAAGTCCGAAGCCAATTTTTTTTTCGCCCCAGTTGGCAGACCACCTGACGCTCGCACGCCACCCCTAGCCCCCCAGAGCGCCTAATTTGTCGTAAAATTGAGGTTAACAATTGCCTATTTTATCGGTTAACCTCACATATAACCGGTTCTTAACATTTTGTTGCTCTCATCTTAAGTTAAGAGGTTCACTGTCGAAAATTGTCGAAAATATCGTGACGCACACTCATAATTGTTAACATCATATCTCAGCTTAGGAGCAAAATATCAAAAATCGCCTCATATTTCTGTATGACAAGACCTTGACAAATACTTTTGCCAAGTTACAATGTCCCGTGAATTAAACTGTAAAAGAAGATAGATTTCTGCCAAAACCTTATTTAAAGTTTTCATTTACAATAGAATTACAGGTAAACCTCAAAATTTGACGCGCGATATCTACAGGTGGGAAACTTATTTTTCGTTCAGGACAAAAGCATTTGAAAATTTAGATCGCGTCGAGCTCTACACAATATCTCAAAATTTCAAAAAATATAGATGAAACTATTAAGTATTCATGAGATAAACAAATAAAGTAATATTATGTAGTTTTGTAAATCTGTCACAGCATTGTCACAGCATTGTCACAGCACTTTCACAACACTGTCACAGCATTGTCACAGTACTGTCACAACACTTTCACAGTATTTTCACAACACTATCGCAGTAATGCCACAGCATTATCACAGTACTGCCGCAGCACTGCCACAGCATTATCACAGTACTGCCACAGCACTGCCACAGCACTGTTGCAGCACTGTTACAGCACTGTCACAACACTGTCACAACACTGCCACAGCGATGTCACATCAATGTTACAGCACTGTCACAGTACTGTCACATCACTGTCACAGCGATGTTACAGCACTGTCACA